TTCAACAAAAAAAAAAAAAAAGAATTACCTGGCAATCTTGCCATGAAGGGCCTTGTTCAGGTACTACCTGTTATAGGATGACAATTTTCTTCCAAATGTAATTCTACACTGTCACCCTGTCACATGCACCCTGATGGAGACACATTGCCTCCATAGTCCACTGTCATCCCTATCAGGAAGCCATTCCAAAGCAATGATATGCAGCAGATGCTGGAGCGAGTGTATGTACACAGGAAATGGCTGAAAGAAGCAATACTGAAATACTGAGCGGCAACAATGGAGGGGAAAAAAAAAAAAGGCAAAGAAAAACATGGCAATTCTTTATAATACACAGTGTAAAGAAAAAACAATGTTACATAGTTAGGACTTGCACCTGCTTCAAAAGGTGACTGTTCTATTAGGCCAACATGACGAATACAACCAGTGCCTACGCGATCTCAAAAGTTTCTGTAAACTTCAGACATGAAATATGACCAAAGTACATCCCTTTACAGTGCGTACTTGTCTCAATTAAAAGCACCAAGTGTCATTTCTATATTCTGCTTCTTTCCTCTGCTATCAGAAGTGTCTGACAAACTTTCCTGAAAAATGGAGACAGGGGAAGGACCTCCAGCAGTTTGACAGCCTCAGCTCTGTTCTTGTGAGCTGTGTAAGGGGGGGGCTGTCTCATCCCTCCAATCAGCTCTCAGAGCTCTCCTCACTGAGCTCTACTGAGTGTAATTTAATCTCCCCCATTTCTTCTGAACATCAATATATTTAAAGGTTTACAACCACTTTAAAACAAATATATTTGTTTTCACTGATCAACTGAACAAAATCAGGAGAGAAAAAACGGAATGGGACTGCTGACTTGTTTTTAAAGGTGTATGCTCCTCAGCTGTCATCTTGCTACTGGATTGCTACCTAGTAAGTTACGGAGTTGGAAACAGCATGCAGCCAGTAAACACAGGACATCTAATCCACATGCTTGTTTCAGGGAAGCACCACAAGGATCAAGCTGCAAGAAGGACAAGCCAGTAATGACCTCCTCTATTTCTTGAAGGTTTCTTGAATTTATTTACTTTTAAAAAAATCAACCTTTTACCATTTCCTTGGTAGATGAGAACCTCCCATACAGCAAAGCATCTGCGCCTCAGAACATACGGTTCTCAAGGCATTTTTTTAATGATCAGTGAAGTGCTGTGTAAGCATTCCCAGTTAATTAAAGTATTACATGGGGAGAAAGTTGTGATGCAAAAGAACAAAGAAAAGTAAAAAAAAATAGAGAAAACAAAAAATATTGGTAGAGTCCTGCAAAGTAAAAAGCTTTACTTGAGAAAATTTGCTCTGGTTTCCCTCAACAGAGGATAAGGGTCTGTGCCTGCAATGCTTTGCAAAGTAAATGTGGAAAGTGTTTATAAAGTAGCAAAAGCTATCCATAGAACATATTTAGTAGCCTGAGGCTGATGTCACATGGGCAATTCTGCTGCTGGAATCACAATGCCAATGGATGGGTCTCTAAAAAGGTTGTCTGTTTGTCCCTATGGAATCACTCCCTCTCTAGGCAGATGAGGTCGCTGGCCCAAATGCTGCTGAATCCCAATTTTCCTGGTGATGGGAACGACATTTCACTGCTTTAGCAACAGAGGGCGTAATCCCATAAGGACAAAAGGCAGCTTCGTCGTGATCCAGCTGCTGGCAATTTTGACAAAATCACCAGTGAAAGGATCGCTAGCAGCAGTCGCCTGTCTGACATCACCCATGGCAGAATCATGGGTGCTAGCGGTCCTACCAATTACCGCTGTGGAATTGCTCCCTCACTGATCTCCAATGCGCAATTCTTGCTCGCTAACAAGGGGGCAGGGAGGATGTGACATTGCAATGGCCGGCTAGCAAGGTAGCAATTCTATAGTGGCTCCCAGGCAGTTTCTTAGCGATCCAAGAAATTGCCAGAGTCAAGACTGCCGGTGTGACATCAACTCTAAGGACCATGCTGGACAGGTGATTTTTTTCAGCAATGGTTAATCTTTGGTGAAAAAAAAAAAAAAGGCTAATGCGAGTTGCTGGTGATTTGCTACCATTGTAAGTTTAACCAGTGCTAGATTGTTGAGCTGGCGAGCTCTGCTACAAATGGCTTACCTTCAGCTATTTGTAGCTAAGCCATGGAAGTTTATGAAGATTGATCGTTGCTGGTGAATGGGTCATTGACTTAAACACTACTCAAAGTCAACCACTGAACAACTGAAAAAAGGATTGCTGCAAACAAACAGCTCATCTAACATGGCCCTAACACCCGTGTCACATTGGTAGCAACAATTTGTAGTAGCTTCATCATATCTAGCTTATGTTCGCAGTTTTCTTACATTTTGTATAGCTCAGATCACACTGCACCCGCACCAAAAAGGTGCAGGACCCTTTCTTTGGTTCGCATTAGAATCAGATCGCATGGGTATTCACACCTATGTGATCCAATCCTGCAGATTGCACTGCGTTTTGTGGACTTAACATACACATCCGCTGTGGTTCGCATGAATGGGGTGCGATTGCGATGCGGTGCGGAATTCCGCATCAGTGTGAACCCAGGCTAAAAGTGGTTCTACAGACTTTAAGGTTTTTCACTTTAATGTGTTCTATGCATTAAGGTGAAAAAACTTCTGTGCTGTAGCCTGACCTGAGCCCAATCTGATCCAGTAACGTGCACAACAGCAGCAGATCAGCAGATCTAGCCACCGTCTCCCTCCTCACTGGGCAGATTGATTGCAATCAATCAAATGCTGTAACGTGGGAGCAGGGTCGGGGCCGAGCCGCCCGCTCTGTGTCAATGGAGGCAGGGTGGCTCGGGAGTGAGCCTGCACGGGTGCCCCCATGGAAAGCAGCTTTCTGTTGGGGCACCCACCAAAGAGGAGGGGCAAGGAGCGTGGCCGGGGGACCCCAGAAGTGGAGGATCTGGGCTGTTCTGTGCAAAACTATAGCACAGAGCAGGTAAGTATTGACATGTTATTTTAATAAATTGAAAAAAAAAAAAAAAAAACACACAAAACAAAGGATTAATATCACCTTAAAAACTTGTGATATGGGAGAACAACACAGCAAACATGCTCAAATGCAAGCACCGCAAGGCCGGAAAACAATCAGACAAGAATTATGGGCTGCAGGCAATGGCAGTGGTACAGCACCTTAAACGTCTGGCACTTGTGCTCCATCCGCTGCTTCTCATACTGCATCTGCCCAACCTTGATTTTCATGCTAGAAAGCTTGGCCATTAAAGACTGGTGACAGAGAAAGCAATGAAAGAGAGAAAGGAAGAGCAAGAGAGAAAGAGCAAACTGGCACACAACTCCTATGACCTGTATTAAGCCTGGATCTACATGGTAGAGAATTTATTGCTGTATGAACGCCTTAACTGCAACACATGCTGTCTACTAGCTCCTGAGTGTGCATGACAGCATCAAATAACAATCCTGTAATTTAAAGTGTATGTCCAGTCAATTTTTTCCCAGGAGGCAACAGGTCACCAGACAGGAAGCAAATGCATATCTCTAGCACTAAAACAGATTTTATATATATATGAAAGTTAGAACTCCTATCAGCTTTCTATTGCTGTCTATGTCCCTGCTGCAGATTTCCCTTTACTTCTTGCCTGGCGAACCTGTTGTCATCATGATCATGAGTGGAAATCTTCCTAAAAAAGCTCTGATTAGCTGTAAAAGCTCAATAGGGATTTTCACCCTTCCTAGCTTTAAGGGTCTTTTCACACGGGTGTTCCGTTTTTCCATCAGTTCAGTCCGTTTTTTCGTTGAAAAAACGTGTTAAGTTTACATCCGTTTACATCTGAATGTTAAAAAAAAAAAAATTGCCGGGGGAAGGGGGGTGTCATCGTAATTGACATTGGATCTGCTTTGGACGACATTCTTTTATTTTCTTTCTTTTAATAAAAATTTTTGTCAGACTGTGTCATTTTTCACACTACACTTTATTTTTTGTAAATGAGTAGCAGTAACATGTACCCCATACTCACTCACATGGGTGGGGGGCCGGGATCTGGGGGCTTCCAAATTACGATAAGCCCCCTGCCCGCAGACCCCCACAACCACAGCCCAGGGTTGTGGTGGGGAAGAGGCCCTTGGGGACAAGGTGATTTGGGGGGGGGGGGGAGCACCCCCCAATGTTGAAGGCATGTGGCCTGGTATGGTTCAGGATAGGTGGGTGCGCTCGCTTGTACCCCCCCCCCCCCCCCCTTCATGACCTGCTGGGCTGTAAGCAATCTGCTGCATCCGGGTTTTTTGGGGGAAGAAAAATAGGGTTTTCTTCCATCAAAAAAAACGGATGTTAACGGATGCGGACAATAGCGGATGTAAAAAGATCATCCGTTTACACCCGCAAGTCCATAGAAATACATGGGGGTCAGTTTTTCATTTGTAAACGGACAGATGAAAAAACGGACCTACATAACGCCCTTGAGAAAGAGCCTTTTAAAAAAAAAAAAAAACAAAACAAAAAAAACAGTGATGTAAACAACTGTGAAAGTCAAACCCAACCTCTGTTCATCACTTACAAACTGGTCTGTGTCCTTCTCAATTCCCCACAATCAGCTGGGTGCCAAGGCTCTGGAGTCCGCTTCTTTTCCACTGTAACCCACTGTCCATGTAACAGGACATTAAATTCCAGCCAAGATTCATTAAAAATGACAGCACACTCACCCAAAAGCTACATCCCAACAAGATTTAATCATAGGACTGTGAAAGTCGGTCATTATTATGCTGTCATGCACCCACAGGAGCTGGGAGACCGCGTGTGTTATGGAAAGAGGCTAGCAGTTAATCAAGCAGCCACTGTCACAGGGCCTGACCCTCAGGCCCAAGTCAAAGTAAGAAAAGCTTGATAAGGGAGCACATTACAATCTTTCACAAGCAATCTTACACTCTAATAGTTTAAGATGGAATATTCAAAGTCCTACATAAGCCCAGCGGACACTGGTTCTCTTTAAGGTGCACACAGGGGACTTAAAGCTAGTAACTTGCCTTGGTGGATTTTAGCTTCTTCTCATATTGGGTCCGTTCATTCTCCATTTCCACCACTCTGTGTCGCAGTTCGGTCATTTCCTGTACCAGGCCCTATGGGGACAGATAAAGCCAAAATTCACTCAGAAACTTGTATCGCCATAATGGATAATACAACAGTCTGAGCTTTCCCAGCTATACCCATATAGGCCTTAAAAAACTGCAACTTGCTGAGACTCCACCACAAACACACAAAACCTTTTATAATGGGCAAGCCAAGCAGAGCATGCCATTTGTTTTCCTTGTTTAATAACCACTACTGCACAGCACCATTTGTCATATCCAGACCACTGCAATGGGGTCACTGAGGATTCTTGTCACCACTGCAAGTCGTTTAAAATTGTCAATATCACACTCAAAAATCAGACAGAAGGCAGGAAACAGTAGGAATGGACAGTGTGTTGGATCAACCTTGTGGAACACTGGGTTGGCAACCAAATCAAATGGACAATATGAATATGCTGACCATATCAGCCAGTCCAATTTCAACAATCTTTTTTCTAATGAATGTAAGTAAATAGAGTGACTGGGGGACAGAGAGAAAGAAAGAAGTAAATAGAAAAGAGAGAGGGTGAAAGAAAGAGAAAATGTGAAGGAGAAAGAGAGAGGGAAATAGATATTATTTGAATTAACGTTAGCTGGGCAGAATCCCGACTGCTTGCGGTACAGCTCCACAATATACGTTACAGCATGTCATAGACTGAGAGGGACATTAGAAACTGGACTTCTAAATCCCTGGACTTACACTCTATGGACGCGAGAGAAAAGGAGAGAACGAGAACGAGAGGGAACGAGACGAGAGGGAACGAGAACCGAGAGGGAACGAGAACGAGAGGGAACGAGAACCGAGAGGGCGAGACACAGCGCGAGAGAGCGGGCGACACCGCGAGGGAACGAGACGCGGGGGACACAGCGCGAGAGAGCGGGCGACACAACGCGAGAGAGGGGCGACACAGCGGGAGAGAGCGAGAGGGAACGATACCGAGACAGACTAGACAAAGATAGATGTATTAGAGAGCTATAGACACAATAGATAGATACATAGAATAAGACAGGACAGGAAGGGGAGCTAATAGATAGACAGGTGGGAAAGACAGACAGAAAGCCATATAGATGGAGTTATTTTATATAAATGAAGAGAGGGAGTTATTGGCCATCACACAACGGCATATCATTAATATGTAGGATATATCACGCCACAACAATCTACAGGCTGTGTGTTATTTTCAGCACACAAAGAGGAGGAAGAGGCAGTTAAATTGGCATCCACCATACAATCCACAGTAAATCAAAGACGAATTCTCCTGCGCTCTAGGGCTCAGACAGGTGGCGAACAGATGGAACCAGGCCTGGAGGGATCGTCCACCAATGCATAAAGGGCTGTGCGGCTCCAAAACAAGGCTGGGGAAGCCCAATCAACACTGCAGAATGAAATGAAAACGAGAAGCGCACCAACCTTGCGCATTACCTCAGTAACCAAAATTTATTAATTGTAAAAAATATACTCACAAACAGCGAATAGAATCAGGCATGTAAGTCCTCACAGGGACTTGAAGATAACATGAGTCCCATCAGGGGAGTGGGTGTTCAGTACAGCTGACGCGTTTCGAAGGGGGTCCCTTCTTCCTCAGAGCTCTGAGGAAGAAGGGACCCCCTTCGAAACGCGTCAGCTGTACTGAACACCCACTCCCCTGATGGGACTCATGTTATCTTCAAGTCCCTGTGAGGACTTACATGCCTGATTTTATTCGCTGTTTGTGAGTATATTTTTTACAATTAATAAATTTTGGTTACTGAGGTAATGCGCAAGGTTGGTGCGCTTCTCGTTTTCATTTCAATCCACCATACAATGGCAGTTAAATTGGCATCCACCATGCAATTTGCACACATCAGTAGCAGATATTTCTGAACTCCAGCAGTATCAGTGAGTTCTATTCCCTAGCGCGGTGACACTGTACTATTTCTGAACTTGCAGATAATCCATGAGCTCTGCTCCATAGTACAGTGACATGAAGAGTGAAGGACAGATGTAACAAAACTATGCCTTTCTGTATCTTCTCTACCACACAACACGTATGCTGGAAAGTTAGAGGTGGCACTTAATAAATACCACTTTTACAAAACCCGATAACTACCAAAAAACAGACAGTTGAGAAACTGCAAGCCTGGATTTCAGCACCTACAACATGTTAGCAGTCTGACAATAAAGAAATGACAGACTATACTGGGACATGTGAACTAAAGGTGGAGATGTAAGGGGGGAGACTAACCTTTGTGACATCAAAAAAAAGAAGCTGGCAACACAGCATTCAACGCTTGTAAAGTTTTATTGTTCCAGAAAATAAAACACAAAGCCTCTACAATAAGCCCAGTTTTCAGTGAACCACATTAGCAGAAGAGGTCCGGGCAAGGCTTCATGTTGTATTGTTGGACTTTACAGTGTGCAGCCATTTTTTAAGGATCTGACAGAAAAGTTCTAACCCTCCTCCATTGTGTTGCTGTCTGTGTCCCCACACTGGAGGGATTTACCAATTTTTTCTACTCATGACAGGCAGAAGATGCAAATGAGGAGGATGGCATAAATTTACACTAGATCCAGTATATATGTATTAGTCTTGATTAAAAAAAATTATATATATCACACAGTACAGCCAATGTATTTTGGGAGCTCACAACCCCCCCTTCAAGAGTGAAAAAAAAGGGAGAGTCCAGTTGGCTGCATAGGGCAACAGAATCTGTTCTTTTACGTCTATGCAACAAGTCAACACGGGGGAAAAGCAATCACTGGTCATGCATGCACAATGGCTGCCTTGTGAATTCCACAGACCACTCTTTACGGCACCAACATGGCAGCATTAAATTTAATTAAACATTGAATTTATAACACCCTTGATACTCCTTTCCAACTCCATGCAACAAGCCGCCACATCATCAAGTCACCTCTTGATCCCCATACTGTAACCTTTTTTCTTGAAACAATGCCAGTTCCACCTCCAGCTTCTCCATCTGCTGCCTCAATTCTGCTATTGTCTTATGGAGAGACTGAACGACAGAGGAAAGAGAAAGGGGGTGAGAGCAAACAACGGGGGAGTCAGGACAACAAGAGAAAACCATGCCTGCCTCATTAAAATATCTACTAGGAGAGTCAATGAGACCCTGTCACCAGACAGTTTACACCAACAATAATCTTCCCATAAGATATGTGCATTTAATGTGTTTTAGGCATGCTATTTACTTGTGTAGACATCCAAAACTGTGAGGTCAACAGACTCGGAGTTGTCAAAACAAAGGACTCTATAGTATCCCTCTTCACTTCTTCTCTAGTGGCTACATAAAATTATATTAACATATATAGATTTTGGCTGGGTTGTTGCAGTCCAATCCACGCAGTCAGTCTTTGCTTACCTCTGAGTCTTTGAATCTGTCTTCAAAGTCCGTGTGATCCTTCTCCACTGCAGTCAACTTCAGTTTCAGAGTAGAAATCTCCGCCATCAGATCAAGTTTCTGTGTTTCTAGTGTAGTTCTGCTCAGGAGTTCCTAAACATTAATCAGGAGGGTTACGTTTTGCAGCAGACCATAAAGAGACCAGGGTCTTACAGGGAAACCAGTATGTGACCCCCCCCCCCCCCCCCCCAAGATTATGCATCTGTAGCTACACCTGCACTAGACAGCAAAAACTGATAACAATGCAACATGGGAGAGGAGTTCTTCTCTGGCAACATGACTGTGGGGTAAGGATGTCTGGCCATTATACTTTTAAGCACTGAAGGATTTCAGGTGTGGATGGGACTAAAATACAGAGAAGTGTATTTCAGAACTTTTTAGGATAAAAGTTCATTGAAAGTTTTCTAGGTCACAGAGATGCCTCAAGCTCCACTCTACACAATTATTCAGAATGGCTTCAGGGAGAAGCTGACTGCAGAGAAAAGGATGGCCTCCATTTGGAAGAAAGATAGTCTACCCGGGTCTATTCAGGAATGTGCTTTGTGCTGCCTGTCACTGTCAGTCTGATCATAGTATTTAACGGCTGTGTACTCCAAGTAAGGGGTCCAGTTGTGCTGCTAATGTACCACTTGTTTGCATTTATTTTGTACAGTGTTTACATATTTTACCATTTGGTTTTGAACAACCCACTCCAGGCACAAAGAAATGTTTCTATCAAATAAAAAGTTTGCACAAGGACCCTTCAGTGATCACACATACAAGCTTGAGCTAGTTTTGTATGTTGATATTCATGCCAAGTACATGATAACAGTCAAAGCACGCAGGAAAGCTAGATTTGTAAATGTGGTTAAGTTGTAACAAACTGAAAATTATTAGTCCCCTCCAAGGTGGCGGCAGTCTCTAGCAGTCTCTTTCAGGGTGGCAGTTGTCGCTAGCAGCCTGCTTTAGGGGGTGGCAGTCTCTAGCAGTCTCTTTCAGGGTGGCAGCTGTTTCTAGCAGCCTGCTTTAGGGGGTGGCAGTCTCTAGCAGTCTCTTTCAGGGTGGCAGCTGTTTCTAGCAGCCTGCTTTAGGGGGTGGCAGTCTCTAGCAGTCTCTTTCAGGGTGGCAGCTGTCTCTAGCAGCCTGCTTTAGGGGGAGGCAGTCTCTAGCAGTCTCTTTCAGGGTGGCAGCTGTCTCTAGCAGCCTGCTTTAGGTGGTGGCAGTCTCTTTCAGGGTGGCAGCTGTCTCTAGTAGACTGCTTTAGGGGGTGGCAGTCTCTAGCAGTCTCTTTCAGGGTGGCAGCTGTCTCTAGCAGCCTGCTTTAGGGGGTGGCAGTCTCTAGCAGTATCTTTCAGGGTGGCAGCTGTCTCTAGTAGCCTGCTTTAGGTGGTGGCAGTCTCTTTCAGGGTGGCAGCTGTCTCTAGTAGCCTGCTTTAGGGGGTGGCAGTCTCTAGCAGTCTCTTTCAGGTTGGCAGCTGTCTCTAGCAGCCTGCTTTAGGGGGAGGCAGTCTCTAGCAGTCTTACAAAAGTTGGCAGAAGTCTCCAGCACTCTCCTGCAAGCTGGAAGCAGCGTCTAGCACTGCTTTCAAAGTGGTAGCAGTCTCATGCAAGTTAGTAGCAGATCCAGCAATCTCCTACAAACTGGCCATGGTCTTTAGCAGTCTCCTGTAACTTGGAAGCGTTCTCTTGCAGGATCCTACAAGCTGGTATCTGTACCTAACCTTCTCCTCTAAGCTGCCAACAGCTACCAGCATTCTCTACAAGCAAACCACTTTCTTTACAGTCTCCTGCAAGCCAACAGAAGTCTTCTGCATATTGGCTGCTGTCTTGCACAAATGCCAGCAGTCTTCTGCAAAGTTCCAGCAGGATCTAGCCGTTGTCCATACCATAACAGCATTCTCCAGCAGATTCCCTAAACCTGGAATCACTATTTACCATACCATTTCCTTTAATATACATCTAACAAGACAGATGCTTCTACTGCAAAATAGCATCTTCACCATACAAAAGAAAAACCATGTTTCAGGTACAAGAGAAAGCAAAACATAGATGTGGATTTGAGTTGGTATAAACAAACCTGTACAAGTCTCTTGTGTACTGGTGTCCTTTTATATAGTATATATCTTTAATCCCCGGTAGGGGGCGCCTTCTCACCTGCTGCAGCATTTCCTCCGTAGCATTCAGCTTATCCCTGTGTTCCTCCAGGCAAAACTCTAGGTCTCGTATCTTCTCACCCTGAGCCTCCACCTGGTCTGTCAGCACGCTCACCTGTTTAATGAGGAGATGGGAAAACTCAAAATATTTTTAAATACCTTCATGGTAAATAATAGGAAATGAGCATTTTTCTGAGGACTAAACTGCCATTCAGATACTAAGATTTCAAAGCGGTTTCTATGGCAAAAGAGACCTATTAAACAAGAACATGTATAATTGAGTAGCCCATGGCAGTCTGGGCCCAGGGTGGCAGGGTGGTCCACGGCCTTACCCTTGGGTCTGCCTGAAAATATCACCACCATGGCCGACTGCAAAAGCCAAATCTACTTCCATTGGCTACAGTTAACATGGTTGGTACCTTGGTGATCTGGCTACAGTTGACAAGAGAGGTTTCACCCAATGTCCTAGGAAAGGACTCTGCAGGACTTGGAATAAAGAAACTAGAACATGAAGAAGGAGCCCAGAGGAAACTAGTGTGTAATTTCAGATCCTGATGAAGGTGGGAGGGGGATGTAGGGGAAATTCTTCACCAGATACAGAGCCATTGCAAATCTTCATACCTGCAGCACTAGCGACTCTTTGTCATTCTCCAAGCGAGCCAGCCGCTCCTGGTAGATATCAACAGTACCCGAAATATGTCCATTAACCTGCAAGACATGGGATATATCAGAAATTGGGTATAGCAGAACATAGTTAGTAAAGTCTCATACTAGTAGATCTAAACCCAGAATAAATATCATATAACTCCCTTAATTTGCAGGGATTTCCTCTTACTTCCTGTGTAGTTGTGGGACAGGATGTGAAGAGAAATCTGCTCAGTGGGACACAGTGAAAAAAAAAATCTCACAGGGGTTATAACCTTCACTATGTTTTTTTAATGCTCCAGATAGCAAATAAATCACAATGATGTACCTGAATTTATTTTTTATTACATAATGCAAGATAAAACACCTACTACCGCTTGAAAATGATTCTGATAATCATTATATTGGTGTAACCAAAGCAACCCTCTATAAATTTTATTACATTAGAAATCAAAAGTAACCAACTGACCTGTCCCAAAAGTGGACCATATAATGTATAATGTGGTGCGCAGTTAGGCTCAAGAAGGAGGGGAAAAGAAGGGTCACCGATGATCTCTACGCGTTTCGCAGCCAAAGCTACTTCGACAGAAGCAACACATATACATACATATACATCAGGAGCAATATTCATGCATGTATATAAATACAAATGGAACTTTATCAAGTTTTTTTATTTTAAATATGATAAAGAAAATATGATGTATATTCATATTTGTAGTTATATTTTTACTGTATAAATTTACTGCTCTATATATCGTATTACAGATTCTCATATGTATGTAAGTATGCATGCACGCATGTATGTATTCTGATAAGTGGCCAAAAGAAGATGGGGAAGAAAAGCAACACTGAGATGAGGAAAAACAGGACGAAAAAAAACACAGAATTTCAAAAAATGTCAACTGGTGATGACACACTGAGCAAACATTGTCATTCAGGAAAGGTTTATTCACACCATAAGGCCTCACACACAGGATGTCAAAAACAACCTCTCCTAGAAACCTTCCTTCTGGCAGCAGTGTTTTTGAATAAAAAAAATGCCTGACGCTTGTAAAAGTATCTAATACTTTTACAAGTGTTTAGGCGCGTTTAAAAGCGCCAAGCGCTTTGGTGTTAATTCATTTAATTGGCCAGAATAATAATTTAGCATTAACATGCGTTTACACATCTGAAACATTTTTTTCTGTCAAAACGCTGCAGTTCCTGGAAGCACTGGCCCTGGGTTTTTTTCCTGTCTGTAAACGCTCCTGCCACTAAAAGTCTATGTGTGCATGGACACATAGGATAATATGGAGGGGTGTTTACAAGCAGTAAGAAAAAAAAAAATGCCTGACGCCCATAAAAGTGGCTGCAAAATGCCCTGTGTGCATCATGGTTTCCATTATTGCGACGCTTGGTGACCTGTAGTTGTGTATTGAGGTGCATTTTGACACAAAGTTAATTACACCCCAGTGCACATCTAAAGTGAGTGCATTGTAACACACAGACGTGAAAGAAAAAGAAAAATTGCAAAGGGCCTATTTTTCTGCACATTCACAGCCAATTATTTTTAAATGGATTCTTCATGTAATGCGCCTCAGTGCATAAAAATACAATTTAGATTTACTTTAACACAACAAAAAGGAAAATAAATATATATCGCCGGGTCTAGCGGTTAATCTGCCTTTTTAAAATGTAAATGACAATTCGCAGGTCAGTGTGCTCCCAGTTCTACAAAGAGCTGCTGGGCATTCAGGGTGGTGTGCGTGGAGACACATAGCAGCAAAGACACATGAATACAATGCTACGTCACATACACCATTCCCACAGACAGGTGGTCAATCCGCAGCAAGTGTTTCACTGCTGGATGAACCCAATAACCAGATGGCTGTAATGTTTAACCAGAAGCCGGTTATGTGCCCAACATCTGTGAAATGTAAATACAAACTACACACATAGCAGAGTCACCCAGCACACAGACGCACAATTATACTGGCCTTCCCACAATGTACAGAGACCGTGCAATGTATTCAATACATTTTTTACTTACATTGGTTCTAAAGTATAGAAATAATAGAAAATGTCAGAATGTAATATTTATATATATAAAAAAAAAAAAAAAACCACACACATTGTATGTATGTATATACACACACACATATACACATATACACACACATCTATATCCCTGGAGAAGAAAAGAAAATCAAGAACCTCAGTAGGTGTATGTGTACAGTATCTCACAGAAGTAAGTACACCCCTCATATTTTTGTAAATATTTTATTATATCTTTTTATGTGATGACACTTTGCTACAATGTGACGTAGTGAGTGTACAGCTTGTATAACATGTAAATTTGTTGTCCCCTCAAAATAACACAACACACAGCCATTAATGTTTAAACCGCCGGCAACAAAAGTGAGTCCACCCCTAAGTGAAAATGTCCAAATTGGGTCCAATTAGCCATTTTCCCTCCCTGGTATGGAATCATGTGACTCGTTAGTGTTGCAAGGTCTCAGGTGTGAATGGGGAGCAGGTGTGTTAAATTTGGTGTTATCACTCTCACTCTCTCATACTGGTCACTGGAAGTTCAACATGGCACCTCATGGCAAAGAACTCTCTGAGGATCTGAGAAAAAAAAAAGAAAAGAATTGTTGCTCTATATAAAGATGGCCTAGACTATAAGAAGATTGCCAAGACCCTGAAACTGAGCTGCAGCACGGTGTCCAAGACCATACAGCAGTTTAACAGGACAGGTTCCCCTCAGAACAGGCCTCACCATGGTTGACCAGAGAAGTTGAGTGCATGTGCTCAGCATCATACTGACCTACTGACCCCGGGCCCTCAGGCAGTGCCCGAGTTTCCAAATGGTCAGTCCGCCCCTGCGTCCCCCATTTACCCACCCCCCTCCCTCCCCAACCTGAAACTTCCTGTTCCACCACTTTCATTCATTGGATTTCAGTTTTTTCATTCAGGGTGGCTCAGCACTGCATGGTGGCATTGCCTAGGGCACTCAATGCAAATGTGGTCTTCTTAGAAAAGCCCTCTCCTCCAGACCAGATATCACCCATTAAGGTATTTTGATATTTGTATAACTCCTGCCAAGGACCATCAAATTGCTTAGATCAGGAATCTTGAGAGGAGTACTGTGCCAGGTTGCTGTGATGTTTAAAGGTAGCTCAGCATAGCACCCTGTTGGCCATGCCCACCAGCCATGATCTGACAGCATTTCACAGAGAAGCACAGAGACCCAGTGATGTGTGCATAGACACATAGGCTAACATGAAGAGGAGTTTAGAGGCAGATAAAAAAAAAAAAAAAAAACAACCCCCCCCAGACGCCCCTAAGAGCAGCATTAAAAACATCTAATGTGCATAAGGCCTAAATGCTTCAAAACACAAATTTTTTTTTGACAACCTGAGCTACGGAACTTCTGACATTTGTCCAGCCCTGGTGTAAACAAAGGCAACAGTTGGGTGATGAACAGAGCTCTCACAAATATTTTTATTTCTTTCATGAAGGATGATCTGAACGCACAGATTAACTTTCAACTTGCTGCTAGTGCTGTGGGGTGTAGCCGGGACACAAAGCCAATAAAAGGTAAGTGATTGCTTTTATTGGAGAAAGATTAAAGTCCCTCTACAAACCCCCCCACGCTTCAGATGTCATGTTTGTTCTGGAGGAGAGTCAGCAACACACATCTATAAAACCCAACAGCAAACCATGTCAGAATGCAGCAACAAACTATAAAAAAAAGTAAACTATTAAAGTGCAGCTTCAACCAAACCGCTAAATACACAGCTGGTGTGGTGACTTGGGTGACAATACTCACTCTCTGTACTATATCTATGAAATCGCTGCATTGTCTACCTAGGACAGAGGTGTGTTTGGGCTACAGCACACCACCCTCTCTCCTAAGCTCAATAGCATAAAGGGAAGGTGTTCTATAGTCCACAGATGATAGCTGGGAAAGCTGACAACATTGTTTAAGAAATCAGTGCATTTCTGGCAGGATCAACAAGTATTTTCTATACTTGCTGAAAATGTACTTAGCCTAAAAAAAAAAAAAAAAAATGGGACAATCAAATCAAATGACTGGAGATAAGCTGCACTACATTTTTATTTTTGGGAGAAGAAAAAAAAAAAGAAAAAAAAAAAAAAGAGAGAGCAGCTGATCTGGTGCAAAATCTTCATCAGGTTTGTCCAATGCAAAATGTTCGACTGGATCACAGTGTGGAACTTCAGTCCACCTACCGGTCAGCTTTCCGTTCTGCATAGAAGATGAAAGTGGACCTGTGTTGACTATATTTTTTTCATACCAAGTGCACATGTCAGGTAATGCATCAGTGTAATATTTTCAGGTATTTCTCTCTTCCAGAACCACAGTAATTCCCCTGACAATGCCTTCATATGTGTTTTCTTTTCTCCAGAAGGATAGCACCATCTTTGCTCAGGCATCATCCAAGGCCACCTTCTATTTATTTTTTACAGGTACTTATATAGCGCCGTCAATTTACATAGTGCTATATATATATATATATATATATATATATATATATATATATATATATATATTTATATTATCTCCATTCAGTCGTATCCGACCCTTGGCAATTGCATGGATCGTTTTTTTTCCCCATGAATTCTCTAAGCAAATATTTTACAGGGTAGGTTGCCAGGTCTTTCCCCAACCCCTACCATGCAGGAGATCCCGCATGGCCAGGGATGAAACTAGGACAATTTAGACAGGAGCCAATTAACCTACCAGCATGTCTTTGGAGTGTGGGAGGAAACCGGAGTACCCGGAGGAAACCCACGTGAACACAGGGAGAACATGCAAACTCCATGCAGGAGGCGCCATGGTTGGGAATCAAACCCATGACCCAATTACTGCAAGGCAATATATATATTTATTAATATTACATTCACATCAGTCCCTAACCCTCAAGGGGCGTACAATCTAAGGTCCCCAACTCACATTCATACATACTAGGGACAATTTAGACAGGATCCAATTAACCTACCACTTTGGAGTGTGGGAGGAGACCATGCAAACTCTAGGCAGGTGGTGCCGTGGTTGGGAT